GAATGCAAGTTGTGTAGGATATTTATGAGAATTGGGTGGATAGAGAAATCTTTGAATACATAGAAAACAAGAGCAAGAATTTCATGAATTCATTTGATTTTTTTTTTTTTTTTTTTTTTGGGATAACTTTGTATAAATGAATACCAATTTAAATTTTGGAGGATTTGGCTCTCTCTTGTGATGAAGAATGGATAATGACAAAAGGTGAAGGGAATTGTTGTATTTTATTATACAATTTTTATAATAATACATGATATATATTTTTTTATGCTATTAATTTTATAAACTTTATATAATTAGGTTAATTCCATACATTATAATAAAATAATTTAAATAAATAAAATATATTATATATTAAAAAAGCTTACGTTTTTGCGGAGGTATCAAATACACTTATTCGTGAGTATACAAAAACTATAAGAATAACTCATTTTGATGTTCGGTCTTCCAAATTTGGTATCGAATAAAAATAAATATTTTTTTAAAAAATGATCATTTCCTTGATCTCAATTCAAACAGCAAAAATGCTTTTTTTTTTTTTTTTTTAGATTATTTATTTAGAAAAGGAAAAGGTAGAAAATGGGACATGGAAATGAGTTGTAATTTGAATTAATTAAACACAACAAACGGCAAGAAAGTAAGGGACTATATTGTAAATTGAAATAACATTGCAAGGGCTTTTTCGTCATTTCGTCTACTATTACCGGTTACCTTTGGCCTCAGTCACAGCACTTCCCCCAATAATGGGTATCTTTCCCATTTTTGCTTTGTGGCTCCACCCCTAACCCCCACCTCTCCTGTCATTGTTTTTCTTGAGAAATTTTATTAATCTTTTGACTTTTTTAGAATAATACAAAAAGAGTTAATATTCCACTCACTAATTACCACCATCAAAATTCCAATACCAGATATTACTCAGTAAATAAAATATTTCTTATATTTATAATTATTGAATTAAAAAAAAGAAAAAAAACTATTATATAAACCCGGTTTGATTCATTGATAAATCGCTACACTTAAATTTTAAAAATATCTAATATATTTTTAAATTTTAAATTTTATGTTTAATAAAATTCTAAATTTTTAATTTTATGTTTAATATGTTGGATATGAATCTCTACTTGGGTTCATTTTTTTAAAAAAAATTTAAGAACTAAAAAATAAAGTCTGAGGATTAAATTATAATAAAACCAACAATATTAAATTTAACTAAAATCTAATTTTATTAAAATATTTAAATTCTAAAATTTATTAAAAATGGAAGAATAGAAGTAAGGGCATCCAAAAATAGAGGGAAAAAGTATTATTCTAAAATTTATTAAAAATGGAAGAATAGAAGTAAGGGCATCCAAAAATAGAGGGAAAAAGTATTTTTTTTTTTAAAAGTTAAGAATATTAGTGAAAAATTGAAAATTTTAATCTTTTTAAAAATTAAAATATTAATATATTTTTTGAAAGTTTAATGCTGTAGTAATGATTTTCGTTCATAATATTAAAAAAAAAAATTAAAAATTTTAAAAATATTTTTGAAATAAATTACTCAACCTAAAACTAAAATAATAGTATTTTAAAAATTTAAAGTTCTAGTATTAAATAAATATGTTATATATATATATATTATAAATAATAGTATTTTAAAAATTTAAAGTTCTAGTATTAAATAAATATGTTATATATATATATATTATACAATGATAATTCGACTCCCAAAAAAATTAAAAGTAAAAAATAAAACTTTTATAAAGTCCACTTTAATTCTTTATACTTCTTTTATTTATACTCTCACACCTGTGCCGAACTCGTACCTCCCGCACTCTCAAAAATGGAGGCAAAAACCAGTGCATTACCCTTTATCGGCTTTCTTCTCACTCTTCTCTCTCTCTCCACCGCCTTCTCCGACTTCCAGACCCTTATACCCAAACCTCTTCCGGCTTCACCTTCACTCTCTCTCCACCGCCTTCTCCGACTTCCAGACCCTTATACCCAAACCTCTTCCGGCTTCACCTTCACTCTTCTCGCCTGAATCCGACACCGATTCCGAGTCTTTCATCTCCTCGGAGGCCGGCTTAGAGTTGCAGCTTCACCATTTGGATGCTCTGTCTCTGAACAGAACGCCGGAGGAGCTCTTCCATCTCCGCCTTCAGAGAGACGCTCTCGGATGCTCTGTCTCTGAACAGAACGCCGGAGGAGCTCTTCCATCTCCGCCTTCAGAGAGACGCTCTCAGAGTCACGAAACTGAGTTCACTCAGTGGTGGCTCTCAGAATCTTAGCCAAGCTAGTGGGACCAGCCACGGGACCACTGGGTTCAGTAGCTCAGTGATCTCGGGACTCGCTCAGGGTAGCGGCGAGTACTTCACGCGCATCGGCGTTGGCACGCCGCCCAAGTATATCTACATGGTTCTTGACACTGGTAGCGATATTGTTTGGCTACAGTGCGCTCCCTGTAAGAATTGCTACTCTCAGACCGACCCGGTTTTCAACCCGGTTAAGTCCAGATCCTACTCCAAGGTCCTTTGCCGAACGCCGCTTTGTCTCCGGCTCGAATCTCCGGGGTGCAACCAGAAGCAGACGTGTCTCTACCAGGTTTCTTACGGGGACGGTTCCTATACCACTGGTGAATTCGTCACCGAAACCCTAACCTTCCGGCGGACTAAAGTGGAGCGCGTAGCCCTAGGTTGCGGCCACGATAATGAGGGCTTATTCGTTGGTGCGGCGGGGCTTTTAGGTCTCGGTCGGGGAGGATTGTCATTTCCGTCGCAAGCTGGCCGGAGTTTCAATCAGAAATTCTCCTACTGCTTGGTGGACCGATCCGCCTCTTCCAAACCGTCCTCCGTCGTCTTCGGTGACTCCGCCGTATCTAGAACCGCCCGGTTCACTCCTCTTCTCACAAACCCTAGGCTGGATACATTTTACTATGTCGAACTGTTAGGGATCAGCGTCGGAGGCACGCCTGTTTTCGGCATCTCCGCTTCACATTTCAAGCTCGATTCGAACGGAAATGGTGGAGTCATCATCGATTGCGGTACCTCCGTCACTCGATTAAACCGACCGGCGTACATAGCCTTGCGCGACGCCTTCCGTGCTGGAGCCTCGAGTTTGAAATTGGCCCCTGAGTTTTCCCTTTTCGATACTTGCTACGACTTATCCGGGAAAACGACGGTGAAGGTGCCGACGGTGGTGCTACATTTTAGAGGCGCTGACGTGTCGTTACCGGCGTCCAATTATCTTATCCCGGTCGACGACAACGGGAGGTTCTGCTTCGCCTTCGCTGGAACGACCAGTGGGCTGTCCATCATCGGCAACATTCAGCAGCAAGGATTCCGGGTCGTGTACGATTTGGCGGGTTCCCGGGTCGGATTCTCCCCTCGTGGTTGTGCCTGATGTCGACGGACCGACGTAATGCAAGGCCGGGAAAATCCTCCCGCCGCCGTCTGTCCATTTCCTTTTTTCAGTTCAGTCGTGATGATTAAAAATAAAGAAAAAGAAAAAAGGAAAAGTTTAAACAGACTAGCTGAGCTGTATCAGTATCAAAAAATTGGAGGTGAAAGGAGTATATGGACTCAGAACGGTGTCGTTTAATGTTTACTATTTTACTTGACTTCTTCTATCTTTACCCTTTGAATATTTTAGTCTGCCAAATCAGTGTCTTATTTCAAATAAATAATTTAAAATAAATTAAGGTTGAGTTGATAATTAAGCTGAGTCAAATATTTTTTTTATTAGGCCCAGTTAGTGTAAAAATATATTTTATTTTACGGTTAAATTGAAGAAAATTATAACTTTAAAAGTTAGAATTTCATATTTATTATTTAATATAATTTTATGAAATATTTTCTATAATCTGCTAAATGACTAATTTCAATATTTAAAAATTCTATTTTTTTTAATTAGTAAACTTATAATTTAATTTTAAATATTTCTATGCTTATGTTTTATGTAAGGTTAATATGTAATGCTTAATTATAATTTTTTTAAAAAGTAAAGAGTATTAGTGGGAAGAAAGAGACACAATTTGGAATTCAAAACAATAAGATATTATAAATCTAGTCTAATCCTTAAATTTATAAATTTTAATGTTAGGTAAATTTGTTAGTCTTAACAAAAAAAATTAATAGATAAATATTTTATACTAACTAATATAAAATTCAAAGTTTATATAAAGCTCAATTTTCTACACCAACTCACGAATTATAATAATAATAATAATATATATATATTAAAGTTTAAGAATATTACATAATTTTTAAAGTTTTGGAGGCATTTTTTTTTTTAAGTTAGATAACATTCGATATTAGTTTAGTCATTATTTTTATTATTAATCATATAAGTAATATTATTATTTTATATGGTTAAGTTAATAAAATTATTTTTAAATTTTAGAGGGCTTTTTTAACTCTCAAACGTTTCAATAATTCAAAAACTTTTTAAAAGCAAGCCTCAAAATTATCTTTATTATTTGCTTTTATAAACTTTATTAATACTATGGTTTAAAAAATATTCATACTTCAAAAATACCTTTTGATTTTTTAAAACTATCTTTAAACTTTTTTAAGAAAATAAAAAAAACATTTAAATGAATTTTTAAAAATAACGTTAAAAAGTTTGGATATAATCTCGAAGTGTCAATCAATGATTAGAAAAAAATGGTAATACTAATTTTAAATTTTATTTTTTTAAATATAATATTAACTCTAAGATATTTTTTAACTTTTAAATAAGTAACAAAAAAAAAAAAAATCAAATTCAAATATATCTTTTAAACAAATTACTATGGCTTACATAAATTAAAAAATATATATATATATTTTTTTTTCTACAATTTTTTTGAAAATTAATAGATATTTAGTTTATAGATAATTTTATTAATTTAGCGTATATATATTTTTCATTTTGCCGTATGGAGCACAAGGGTAAGATGGAGTATCCAACGACGTCGTTAAGGAGGCGCCATCTTGGTGATGTGAAGCACGGGGTTTTAGCTAATTCCCTATTAGCTCAACTTCTCGCTCTGCGCATTACTCCCCATTTTCTTCCTTCATTCTTATGAATCCTTCCTTCTCGCATGGAGCTTCTTTCTCCCATCTCCTCTTCTCCCTCTTCAATAACCACTCCTTCCGTTTCACTCTTCCCTGCCAAATTTCCAATTCTAAATTGGCATAACAAAACCCAATTCAGGATTCAACAACCCGCCTCCAAAATCTACAGATACCCAACTTTTAATCTTCCAAGATGTAGAACCAACTTGATAGTTTTCGCTAATTTCCCTCGTCCCACCAGACGCGGCAATTCGCTTCGGAAGAAACTCACCCAGGAGCAACAGGTACGTCGAATTCCCATTCCCGACAATTTAAATCCTGATTTTCAATTGCGCGAACGAATTTCTGATCATAGTGAGACTGCCAGTCGTGTTGGTGGTGATGTTAGTGATAACACTGTTGAAACAAAACCGAAAGGTTTAGGTGAATCTGTTTTGTGGAATAGATTAGAGAATTGGGTTGATCAATATAAGCAGGATATTGAGTTTTGGGGGATTGGTTCTGGTCCTATATTTACGATATTTCAAGACTCAGATGAGAATGTCAAATGGGTTTCTATTAATGAGGATGAAATTTTAGCGAGAACCCAAGTTGAGAGAGTTGATTTGGATGACACAAATGGAGTGAACCATAAAATCTCGGCTGCAAGAAGGATTGCAAGAGAAATGGAGAGTGGGAAGAATGTGCTTCCAAGGAATAGTTCAGTCGCCAAGTTTGTAATTGAAGGAGATGATCAGTCTACTGTTCTGAAAGCTGCTCAGGGTTTCAATTTTAGGCCTGAGGTTTTTACCAAGTTTTCACGAGCTGGGGGCTTAGTTCTATGTAGTTTTCTCTTACTTTTTTCTTTGAAGAAATTGTTCACTTTCAAAAAGGAGGAGGTTGAGTATAGCGAATTCGAGAAAGAAATGATGAGGAGGAAGATCAAATTTAGAAAGGGGAAAGAGGTGTTGGAGAATGGTAGAGTTGAAGTTATTCAAGAACGTGCAGAACCACCTAAGGTGTCATTTGAAAAGCCCAAATTAGATAAGCAAGAACTTATGCGTACTATAGCAAAAGAAAAATCGAAAGCATCAGCTACCAATCTAGGTTTAGTTGAGTCTACGGAGGCTTTGAATGAAAGTGTTGTAGATTTGAGTAACAAAATTCAGGAAATAAGAGAGATGGCACGCGATGCACGGGAACTTGAGGCACGAGAAGACCCCTTTTCTGTTTCTGATGAAAGCAGTCTCTTGAATGGAAAATTGCCAAACGAAGATGACATTGTTGAACATACAGATGAAGGTTCCTGTTTTCCGGCTGATGTTTTAGCACAGGATGAGCATGTGCTTGAAAGTGTTGAGAGTGAGCTCCCACACAGTGTAGCTTCTGAAGAGAAAAAGGATTTGCAAATATCTAGCACGTCAAGCGTGGAAGTGCCACTTAATGGCTATAGCACCTCATGGGATGTTAAAGATTGTAAGACTTCTTTAGGAGTTATGGATACAACGCAATCTGAAACTTACTGTGATACCGAGAAACTAAAAACAGATTCCGAACAAAAGAAACTAAAAATCTTGAGAACAGTGAAGGAAGCTAGGGAGTATCTCTCTGAAAAACAACAAAAACAAATGCCTGATGAGAAAATTCAAGGCATAACTGCACAAGAATTTGCTGCTGCTCCAGGGCTTTCAAATGATAACATGTTGGAAAATGTGGTGAACAAGGAAGCAGATTCAGAAAATATACTGTTCAAATCTTCCTTTTCATTTGAGGCATTAGATTCGTCATCTTTGATTAGTGACAATGTTGATTCAGCACACAGTGATAAAAGTTCCATCTCACTCGAGGACGACCGCTCTAAAAGTTCTGTGGAAGGAGGACCCTCAGTAGGCGGCAGTCAAGATCTCCACAAGTCATTGGATCGTGAAAGCAATGATCGTGATGCAGAAACCATGCCGTATGGAGAAACAAAGAGCTGGATGGAAGATAATTTTGATGAACTTGAGCCTTTTGTTAAGAAGATTGGAGTTGGCTTTAGAGATAACTATATGGTTGCTAGAGAGAAAGGTGAACAGCAATCTGATGCCATTTCTACATTTGCACAACTTAAGTATGAAAATGACAATGAAGAGGAGCTTGAGTGGATGAAGGACGACAACCTTAGAGATATTGTTTTTAAGGTTAGAGAAAATGAACTATCGAACCGAGATCCATTCTATTCAATGGATCCAGAGGAAAAGCGTACGTTCTTTAAGGGTCTTGAGAAGAAAGTCGAGAGAGAGAATGAAAAGCTGTTGAAGTTGCATAAGTGGCTCCACTCCAGCATTGAAAATCTTGACTATGGAGCAGGTATTTCAATGTTCTTGAGCTTTTTATGTTAAATAGTTCTTATCCTGATTCCCCCTTATGTTCTTTTCTCTAGATGGCATCAGCATATACGATCCACCCGAAAAAATCATTCCCCGTTGGAAGGGTCCTCCTTTAGAAAAGAACCCTGAGTTCATCAATGACTTCCTGGAGCAAAGAAAGGAAATTTTCGCTGTGAAAGCTGGTTTGCCTCTTTCTACGAATAAAGACGAGCAGAAGTCTTCTAATCCCGATGGTAGCATTGAAAATATCAATGATCCCAATATGACAATTCATAACAAAGAAAGGAAAGATTCTACGACAATTATAGAAAGTAGTGATGGATCCATCAGACGTGGTAAAAAATCAGGGAAGGAATTTTGGCAACACACAAAGAAATGGTCCCAGGGATTTTTGGAATCTTATAATGCAGAGACAGATCCAGAAGTCAAATCTGTTATGAAGGATATTGGAAAAGATTTAGATCGGTGGATTACTGAGAAAGAAGTGCAAGAAGCTGCCGAGTTAATGGACAAGTTGCCTGAGAGGAATAAAAACTTCATGGAAAAGAAATTGAACAAGCTCAAAAGAGAAATGGAAATGTTCGGACCACAGGCTGTCGTTAGCAAGTACCGTGAGTATGCAGAAGAAAAGGAAGAAGATTATTTGTGGTGGTTAGATCTTCGCCATGTACTTGTGAGTATGATTAAAACTCAACTTATGATGTTACAAATACTTTTGGAACATTGTTTCACTTCAACTTTCATTTGAATATTTTGAAATTCTTTGTGATTTGATTTTGAACACTTCATTTAACTTTACAGTGCATCGAACTGTATACGGTGCAAGATGGAGAGCAGAGAGTAGGATTCTATTCCTTGGAGATGGCTGAAGATCTTGAACTTGAGCCAAAGCCATGCCATGTTATTGCTTTTGAGGATGCTGGTGATTGCAAAAACTTTTGCTATATCATTCAATCTCATCTGGAAATGTTGGGGACTGGCCATGCGTTTCTTGTCGCACGTCCACCTAAGGTATGGAATAACTTGTTTTCGAGCTTCAAGCTTTCTAATACATTTGACAAACTCGAAAGTGGCTAATGACATTTTGCATTGTCTGTACTTATTTCCCCTTAATCATCTGATGGATTATCTGAATGATCTAGCAAACGTTTGTTCTTACCGAACCAATATCCGTTTGTGGAACTTCCAAACCTTGGGATTTCTCCAATCATTGTGAATTTATATAATTTGCAGGTTGTTGTGGTAATTAAATCATTACTTTGAAGTTACTGTGTGTGCATAGACAATCTTCCTGTTTGATTAATCTCTTTTTGTGATCGTCAACTATTGAGACAACCCGTCGTATTTTGTATGTATTTTTCTTTCTTTTCGTTTTGTTGTTATCCGGATATCTTATCGATTTTACTTGCATAACCGTGTTTCTCTCTTGTTAAAAAATTTGCAAGGATGCCTTTCGGGAAGCCAAAGCCATTGGTTTCGGTGTCACAGTCATTAGAAAAGGTGAGCTTAAGCTCAATGTGGATCAAACGCTGGAGGAAGTGGAGGAACAAATCACTGAAATCGGTAGCAAAATGTACCATGATATGATCATGAAGGAGCGTTCTGTAGATATTAGTTCTTTAATGAATGGTGTACTTGGTTTGAGCAACACACCAACAAGGAGGTACCTTTTGATCCTTGATATATATATATATATATGATACTTTAATGGTTTGTTTGACTTGGCTTTCACTTTGTGAAGTAATCTCTTCTTGATTGTTCACTTTCTTTTCAGAGGAAAATCAAAACGAAAGTTAAAGAAACTGAAGAAAAAATGACTAGAAGCCATGACATAAATATAAGTTGCACATTCCTGCTGACCGACTCCGACCGTCCGACGATGCTGAGGGCTGGAATGGTCGATCCCGGACAGCATTTTTGATGGAAAACTCTCCTGGGTTCTCATCTTGTTTCATGCACTTGTGGAGGTGGAGGTACGTAAACTGATCGATTTCGATGCGAAAAAATAGTTACAAATTGCTTCAGCCGTGTTATGTCAAAACAAAGATTTTGAGATCAAGCATTTTGATCAGAGCTATTTACTCCACTGTTGACAAAGCTAGGAAATGTTACTGTCATGTCCCTGTAAGCAAAGAGAACTTATATTATGATGTTTGCCATTGATAAAACAGGCGTTTTATGTCACCATAGAGACCCTGCTATCGTTCAGACAATTGCAGTCAGACAATTGCAGATATGGTTCAAAGCCTGTTGTAACTGACTTACAGATGGTTTGTACTAGATTTTACCTCTTCATGTCCGATGAAGCCAGTACATCCCAGATCGTACAACTTAAAATGTATCTAGGAACTCAATATTAAATCAATCCGAACACTTAAGAAACCATACAACAAAGGGTAATCAATCATTAGAATCATCTTCTTACATTCAATCAATCCTGACAGTCTTTGGAGTGTTCGAATGAAAGACTCTAGTTTCTTATCGCGTCTAAACTGTCTCGCCGCTACAAGGACTCGATGTTGTGATGATTCATGGGATTTTTTCTTATTATTTGAAGGCCGATATCAAAACATCACCCCCTAACATCTTGATGGTGCAAGGACAGAATTAAAATAAAATTATTTATGAATTTTTTTAAAAAAAAGAATGATATATTCCTAATTTGATTTGGAATTTCTAATTGGATTATTAGAATATAGATTAAATATCACCTTCTCTTAGATGAAGATCAAAAAGAGAGAGGAAGAGTAAAATTTCATACTACATTGTTCTAAGCGAGGCCTCTTATCGTAATAAACATAAGCGGACTCTTATCGCACTGTTAAATTCTACATAAATTAATAGACATCGAACTAAATTGTAATTTCTTTTATGTATTCAAATAGTCTTTTTTATTTATTGTTTATAAACATCTAATAAAAATTAAATTCAATCTAGAAATGAAATTGATTATGGTTACTATGAACAAAGAAGAATGCTATAAAGTTATGATGCCATTTGTAAATTAGAAGGCAAAAAAATGAGCCATTTCCATAGTGAAAAGGAGCTGCGATGGGATCAAGAAGTTGAAGGTGGGATGATGGAGCCCTGGCAACAGAACCAAGCAACCACAATGCCTAGCAGAGCACCAGCAAGGACCTGCAATGGCGTGTGCCCAAGCAGCTCTTTCAGCTTTCTTTTTCTTATGGGATGGCCTTCAAACAAGTCCTCAACGATCAGATTAAGAACCTGCATTATCATTTCATTCCAAATCTTTATAACAATATACCTTACTTGTTGAGAAAGCAATTACACATGTCTAAAATATGCCCCATTTAACCCTAGTTTAATTAATTAAGTCATATATTCTCGAACAAGATGATAAAGGTTTTAATCTTTTCGTCCTTACATGTTATTGGAGTCAAACGCTTATGACACGATACTTTCTTTATAAAAACCACAAATTAAGATCGATGCAAGTGACATAAGCCACAGATACCACCGTACCATCACTTAAGTTTTGGGTAAATTTCCTGAAGTAACCATCTAACCTTACAACATTTGATGACTTTGGAAATCATGACGTCAAAGACATCTAAATCTAGACACTGAATGTGAGATCCCATATCGATTGGAGAAGAAAACAAACAATCCCTTATAATAAGAGTGTGAAAATTTCTCCCTAATGGACGCGTTTAAAAATGTGAGATTGACGACGATACGTAACGGGCCAAAACAAGACAATATGTACTAACAGTGGGCTTGAGTTGTTACAAATAGTATCAGAGTCAAACACTGTGGCAGTATGCCAACGAGAACGCTGGCTCCCAAAGAGGGAGGTGGATTGTGAGTTCCCACATCGGTTGGAGAGAGGAACGAAGCATTCCTTATAAGGGTGTGAAAACCTCTCTCTAGTTGATGCGTTTTAAAACCGTGAGAGGTGATGCATAACAGGTCAAAGTGGACAATATACACTAACGGTGGGCTTGGGTTGTTACAAATGGTATTAGAGCGAGTCACCGAGTAATGTGCCAGCAAAGACACTAGCCCTCACGGGGGGTGGATTGTGACATCTTACATTGGTTAGAGAGGGGAACAAAACATTTTTTATCCGAATGTAGAAACCTCTCCCTAGTAGATACATTTTAAAGTCGTGAGGCTGACAATGATACGTAACGATTACTTAGGATATCATTACCAAGCATATCAGCTAACAGAACTCCATACAGTAAGGAACCATAAGCCAGATAAAGCCATGTCAACTCAGCCTCTCCTCCCCAACACACAGAGAAAAACAGAGAAGAAAGCCCATAAATGCAAAAGATCCATATTGATTGGCAGCAGAACTAAGTACTAACCAACATATTCAAACAACTCAATCTGAGAAAGGAAACTTCAAAGTTTAAGATTATTCTAAGCAAATTTATGTAAAACAAACAAGATTTTGTACCTCAGCTTGCATGCCGGTATGTCGACGAATACCAATTGCATCATACATGACAATAAGACTAAACCCCAAGCAGACTGGAAATAGCGAGTCCGCAACGCCATGACAAAGAGCCACGGAAGTCGTCAAAGCGGTGCACAATGCAGAGTGAGAAGAAGGCATTCCACCACAACCAAACATTATCTTCAAATCCCATTTCCTTTCCACGAAAAAGTTCAACAAAACCTTCGTCGATTGAGAAAAAA